CATTTAATTATGAATGTTATTAATTTATATCAACACTAAATTTCATTATCAGATAATAAACATCTCCTACTTTAAAAAAGAATTAATCTATTACCGTGTCATAGTTGACATAAATAGTCAATTTAAAAATAAAACAACTATAATAACTTAACAACATTATTCTCTTACCTAATTTAATCACTCATAATTAATTTTTTGATTTTTTATCAGAAAGTTTTATATACTTAAATATTCCTTTAAACAATAATATTTATATATATACATTTTCTAAATTAAAACTAAATATGTTTTTTATCAATATTCCATAATATTATCTTTGACATTAAATAGTTGATTCATCTTAAATTTGTTACATATTATTTATAATTAATATAATCTTCTTTTACCATTTGTTTTCTTCTATCACCTCAATTACATCTTAAATATCAGTCTCTAATAAAAAAACCATGTTCAACATCTTCAACTTTTTATTAGAACATAATTCTTATAGTTTTATCTCTTGTTTTTTTATACATCTGTTTTCTGAGTATTCTTTAAAGAAATAATTTTTTTTTACTTTTATATGTACAAGTAATAGTTGTAACATTATAAATATTTATGTTTGTTTACAATTATTTTATACTTAAAACGTTTAATAAAAAAATTAAAAGTTTTTTTCTAATTTAGCATATTTTTCAGATTATTGAAATTATCTTAACTGTATTTTCTTGCTTGACAATATAAAATAACCTACTTTTCTTTATATAAATTATTAAAATTCAATCTCAATTAATATCAATAATAAATTTATAACATCTCATTTAAACCATAATATTATCGTGAGTATATTTTAAAAATCAATAAAGTGTTTTTTTAAATTGTTTTCTTTGAAAGATTTTAAATATAAACATAGACAAAAAAATTTACCTATCGATTTTTAAATAAATCTCTATAAAGTCTGTATATAAACATGCTTTGTGTTATTAATCATCACAATTATTTAAATCAAACAATTCCTATCTTATTATACGATACACAATCACAATAAAATATTTTTAATCATTTAATTTATTCAAGATTAACAATTTATTTAAATATCATTATAGTATTAAGCACTATAAGTTAAATCTTTATTAAAAATTAAAAAAAGTAATTTAATATGATAAACATGTTTTTTTTAATTTTTTATAAAACTCTTTTACTTTCCACTCTAATCAAAACATTAGCATTTTATGTAAATAAAATAAATGCTGAATTCATTAAAATAAGTTTATTCTTTCTTTTTTCTCTCTCTTTCTTTGTCTGTATCAATATTATGAAATTTATTTAAGTGATATTTTAGTCCATTACTGTTTTTATACGACTTTACACAGTTGGGTATAAAACACCTATAAGGTCTCTGTTCTGCATTTTTAGCCATGGTATGTCCATGTTCTAGATGATATCTCAATCCATATGAACTAGTAAACCCCTTTTTACAACCAACATAATTGCACAAATATGTTATTGGTTTACCATTACTATCTGTTACTATATTTCCATTGTTATTTAAATCCAACTCTGATTAGAATTTCTTAATAAAGTTCTGTGTCTTCTGATTAAATAAACTATCTTTATAGTAATTTTCTTTCTTATCCACTTTACC